CTTTAGAAGTCTTTCACATGGATTTGTTTGGACCCAATAGAACTACCATCTTAGGAGGGAAAGTTTATGGTTTTGTGATTGTCGATGATTACTCGAGGTTTACTTGGATTAGATTTAAGTTACATAAGAATGAGTCTTTTGATGAGTTTAGAGCCTTCTTCAATTTTTTTTTTTTTATGAATGCTAAAATTACATAAAAAGGGAAAATAAGACCTAGATACAAACTACTGAGAGTGAAGAACACTAACACATTCTTCTGTTACCAAACTACAAAGGGAAGAAGGTAGTTCACTCTCTCAAAACAAATCCCAAAGAAAATCCAAAGAAAGATCAAGATTAGCACAAGAATCCGCTAATTTATTACAATTGTGATTAACCAATGAAAAATCACATTATTAACCTTGCTAAAATAAGAAGAATCTTCAATAGCCATGCTTCTGTCCATATTCTTCGGTATAATGTGCAATTGAATATCAATAACATTTTTATTGTCACCTTCCACTATAATGCCTCCAACATCATCGAATCTACCTTGTAAAATCTCTGTAAGAGCAGAAAAAGTGGAAAACTCCAATTGGGCAATGTCCCAATGCGTTTTCCTCAATCTAAAAGCTAGTAGAAATCTTCCTTTACAATCCCTTACAATGCCACCAACACCAACCTCATAATTTCCTTTAAGAGAAGCATCAAGATTAATCTTAATCCAATTGGGGGGAGGAGTTTGCCATTTATCGAAAGACATTCTAAGGGACTGATTAACAACCAGTTATCCGATTGAACAAAGTACAGATTATCTTAGTTGATAAAGCTGAGAATTGAAGTAGCAATAAACACATTGCTTTCTTCAGGATTCTCATGCTTAAACTTGTTTATATGATTCCATACAAACCAAATAACAGTAAAATACAACTTCACCATCATCACATTACCATCTTTGAGCCTCTGTAGTCCAGCCAAGCAATCATTCCATCCATTGAATACAGGAATCTGAAATCCCCAGCCTCTCAGCACATCCATCACCTTCTGAATCTTACAACAGTTCGATGAAATATGATTAATATCTTCCAAGACTTCACATCCCATTGGACAAAAAGAATCATCAAAAATTTTCCTTCTAAAGAGGAAAGCACCTGTAGGTAGAGCATCCGAGAACAGCCGCCAAATGAAAACCTCCAGCCTTGCATTCAAACCCAGTTTATAAGCCTAACTGATTGGAACAACATCCTCCAGATTTTTATAGCTATATTCCATGATTAAATAAGAGATGGACTTTCCTGACATCTTATACTTTAATTCCATGCAATCCTCATGCCTATTGGGAAAAATCTTGACTTTGCAAATAAGTTCCAGTAAATCTGTCCCAAAGAATATATTGAGTTTCTCACGGTCCCAACTACCTTCAGCAATGAAAGAATCCAGAGTAATATTATCATCCTCAAAATAACCAACGATTGTTGTCCATTTGAGTAGAGACTTGTCCAAAATCCAAATGTCCTTCAACACTTTAATTTTGGAACCATCACTAATTCTCCATCTAACATGATCCCTTAGTGCACTCCATCCAGAAACCATGATCTTCCAAGTAGAGGAACTACTTTTATGCAGTCAATAATTCCACCAATTAACTCCATACTTAGCATTGAGGTGTTTGTGTAAAAGAGAATCTGGCTTATCAATCAACTTCCATGCAAATTTGGCTCTCATAGCATTCCTCCTTGCCACAGCTAAATGAACATCCCAACCTCTAAATAGTTTAGGCTTACAAATTTGCTCCCAAGCAACATAACGAATGCCCCTCTTGACATCACATTTATTCCAGATAAAATCTCTACAAATCTTCTCAAATTCCATCAACGTCTTCATCAGAATAAGAGAGTGAGACAGGATAAAAACAGGAAGAGAAAGATAAACTGATTTAACCAAAACCAGTCTACTAGATAAAGAGACATAAATATTCCCCCAAGCATTATTTTTTTACTGGACTTATCCAATAAAACCTGAAAGTCCACCTTCCTTAAACATCTCAATGCCAATTTGATACCCAAGTACTCAAACTCATCAACTAATTTAATACCCATAAATCTGGAAATCTACACCCTCCTCCTCCTATCCACTGAATTACCACAAACCAGGGAAGATTTATGGTAGTTGATGTTTTGACCATTCTACTTACAATAATTCTCCATAATCTCTCTAACCTTCTTCATCAAATTCACTTTAGCTTCCATAAACAACAAAATATCATCTGCAAATAGAAGGTGAGAAATCTTCTGGGTATTAGAAGAGATCCTAATACCCACATCATTACCCCTGCTATAAAAGGCGTTAGAAAGAAGTTGGGAACAAAGGATAAAAAAAAATGGTGATAGAGGGCATCCTTGACGAAAGCCACTCTTACCCTCAATCCAACTATAATTATAACCATTGATCATAATAGAACTTCTTGGATCAATGATACATTCCATCACCAAATGAACAAACCTGGTAGGGAACCGCAACTCTATCATCATCTTCTCCAAAGTTGACCAGCGCATACTATCATATGCTTGCTCCATGTCCACTTTGATTGCCAAGAACCCATTACAAGCTTTAGAAAATCTCAATTTTTTAAAAACTTCCTGAGCCAAAAGAAGATGGTCTGAGATTGATCTACCCTTCACAAAAGCTGCTTGTTCTTCAGAAATAATCCTATGCAAAACTCCCAACATTCTATTAAGCAAAACTTTAGCAAAAATTTTAAAAATTGAATTGCATAGACTAATGGGATGGTAAGCTGATGGAATACTTGGATTAGAAGTTTTAGGAATAAGCACAACTAAGGTGTCTTTCCACTCCTTGCTCATAGAACTAGTGAGAAAAAATAGCTGAACAGATCTAACTACATCCTCTTTAATGATGTTCCAAAAAGATTTGAAAAAGGAATAGGTAATTCCATCATAGCCCGGAGCTCTGTTGGTGCTCAGATTCAGAATAAAATCTTTAATCTCAGCCTCAGCCAAATCATTAACCAACAAGGTCTTATCACTGTCTTGCAAAATAAGCCATAGTTTAGGCCATCCAGCAAAGCAATAATTTCTGGATTTCCACTTATTTTGAAAAAACTTATTAAACACCTCCTCAACCTCTTTCGGATCATCATTCAGCACCCCATTAGAGTTCTTAACTTGAGAAATCCAATTGACATTTCTCCTAGAATTAGCAAATGAATAGAAGAATTTGGTATTTGCATCACCGTCCTTAATCCACTTAGCTTTTGCCCTTTGCTTCCACCAGGTATTCAGATTATGAAGAACAACATTAAGTTCTTTGACTTTAGCTTTAAGTACCCAAAGCTTCTCCTCAGTCAGCCAACCGTTCCTAGCTTCTTCTTCTTGCAAATTAAGAATTTCAGCTTTCAACTTTTCTTTCTCCAAAGAGAAATTCTTCAATCTAGCCTTGCTCCAATAAAATAAATCTTTCAAGGTCCTTTTACATTTTTTATTAAGATCTTCCATGTCATCCCCCAAGAAGGGTCTCCTCCACCTACTAGTGACAATATGCTCAGCAGTCTTAAAGGATAATCAAGTGTCTTCAAACTTAAAACCACTTCTACCTTTACAAACCGATTCAAACATCTTTAAAACAATCGGACAATGGTCCGAAGCAACTCTGGCAAGGTGTCTAACCAAAGTAATTTGAATTTTGTTGATGGACAAGGTATTAAGAATACACCTATCAAGTCTTTCCAGAATCCGTCCTCCTCCACTCTTGTTGTTGCACCAAGTGAATCTTGGTCCAACAAACCCAACTTCATGATAGTCATTCTCATTCATAAACTTCAACATATCTAAAGGGCCTTGAGTGAATTTAAACCTTCTACCACCCTTCTTATCTTCTTGAGCCAATGCAATTAAAATCCCCTCCAAAAATAGAAGGAATATCTCTATGAGAAACCTCATGAACATACTCCCAAAGGTACCTTCTCTTAAGAGTCTCTTTACTAGCATAAACTGTTGAAATCATCCAAACTCCTCTATTAAAGACATTGAGATGACCAATAACACATTGATCTGATGTTTTTAAAACTAGAAAGGATGCCAAATCCGATCTCTATAGAACCATAATTCCCCAGAAAGCCCTTCTGAGGGAAGAAGGAAATAATCCCAACAAAGCCCCATCATCCTTACAAATGAATCTTTATCCATAGAAAAGATTTTAGTTTCAATCAACCCTACAAAGAATACTTTATAGTCTTTAACAATTTCCTTTAAATAAAGAGAGGCCTCCCTTTTTTTGTCCCCCCTACAGTTCCAAAAAACAATAGATTCCATAAAAAAGTATGGGGAAGAGCCCCCAACTCTTTTATTCATACCTCCATCCACAAATCTACCTCTAGAACTACTTTTAATAGAGCCCAACTCTCTAAGCTTCTTAGCAAGCTTACATTTCACCAGTTCTCCACTAGAAACAACCTCCTTCTCAATTCTCACAACACACTTGCTCCCCTCACAACCCTTGATACTTCCATCACCATCAGGACTCCCAGCAATTGGAGGAACCCCTTCTCTGATAAAATTCCCACAACCTTCAGTATTGGATTTAATGCAAACAACTCCAATTCCATCATCTTCCACTCCTTCCAACACATCAAATTTATTCAAATTGACTGGAATAAAAGGGGTATTATCACTAGAAAACTTACCATCAATCTCTGGAGGAGCTTCAACAGAATCAACAATTTTCATGGCAAAAAAATTCATACTGACAGAATCCCTTCCAGGAACAATCGCCTCCTCTTTTCTAGGTATCTCCCCTTCCTCCAAGTGATTAACTTCAGCCACATCTTCCACCTTATCTAAAGCATCAACACTTTGAGTTACTTTCCAAGCCATATCATCATGAATTTCATTCGATTTCATCCACTGTTTTTTAAGAGTTTTAGGTTTCTCCTTCTGAACAACAGGTCTTCTATTAAATTTTTTCTTCACCATGATCCAAGGACCATAAGAGGTATGAGTAACCTATTCATGAACCTTTTCCATCTCCTTAGCTTCCCTTAACTCACCTTCATTCATCCCCCTGCCAGAGTTTCCAACAACCTTTATTTTGCAATCATCTTTAAGATGCCCCACCATTCCACATCCATAACAAAGAGTCGAAACTTTCTCATACCCAAATCTTTGAAACAATTTCCCATAGATGCTTTCAACCCATACTCCTAAAGAAAGACACTGATCAAGCTTAACTCTCACGCATACTCTAGCGAATTCTCTTTTCCCCCACTAAAACATATTACCATCCATCGTCAAAGGTTTCCCAATAGATGAAGCAATACGAGCCACATTCACTTCATCCCAACAATGCAAGGGTAAGTGAGGCATTCTGATCCAAATTGGTGAGGTTAAACCTTTCAAAGAAAGAGTGGAAAATTGTAATGACCACTTCTCCATCCCCACAATGTAGCCGTTGACAAACCAAGGCCCTCCCAATAAAACACCATCCATCATCTCATTTGACTCAAAGGAACACAAAAACCATCCCTTCCCCAAAGTTGTAAAGTGGAAATTTCCAAAAAGTTTCCACTGTCTCCTAATTTCCCAAGCAACTACATGAGTTGGAACCTCCTTTCCAAAAACTTTAATCACTAGAGAATTCCTGAGCTTATGAGAATTTGAAACCTCCATTTCTTCTATCAATTTCATAGACTTACCGTCTTCCGAGAAGACCATATCATCCTCCTTGAAATCCAACATGATGTAAGGCTTTCTCTTCCACGGATTTTCATCCACCCCAGCCAATTTCTTAATAGGCATTCCATCACTAACCATATCCACCAAATTTGTACCAACAGAATTAGGCCTTGATAAGAATTGAATGCCTTTGTTAACAGAATTACAGGCATTCGTATTTGTTCCATGGCCTAAACCAGAGATTGCATTTGAATTGCCAAACCTGTTAACAAAAATGTTCATTTCTTAAGAGGTCGTCGTCGAATCAAAAGAATTTTGATCAGAAACCTTTCTTGCTACTATAGGGGAAACAACTTCTTCATCTTCGACAACCGACTTCCCCTTACCTTCGATGAAAAAACCTTTCTTGGACAAAACCATAAAATTCTCCTTAATCAACAAAGGCCCATTTGGATGTTTAAAACCAAATTCTCTGGACTTCTTATGAATAATCCCACCCAAATCTTGATCCAAAGAATCCACATTAACAATCTTGCCATCCGTCAAAGCCAAAGAAGATCGACGACCATCCACCGCCATCGACAAGATAGATCATCTTCCTTTATCAATTCCAATTCCTAATGTCACCGAAGATGGCTGACGGCCGTCCATAAACTCCTGAGAATCCAATTCTGCGAAGAACGGAAGACAACCCCGGGAAAAGAATTTTTGAAAAAGGTGACTTCTCTCTCTAGAATACTGGAGCTTCTCTCTCTAGAATTCTTTGCAAAAAAGGATAAGACTCATCTCTTTAGAGTCTTCTTCAATTGGATTCAGAAAAAGCTAGGATGTGAGATCTTGACCATCCATAGTGACCATGGGGGAGAGTTTAAAAATGAGAGATTTGGAGACTTTCATGAGGATAAGGGGATTAGCCACAACTTCTTAGCTCCTAGGACCCCTCAGTAGAATGGGATAGCTGAAAGAAAGAACTGGACCTTAATTGATGCCATTAGAGCCATGCTTGATGAGTATTCACTTCCAAAATACTTTTGGGCTGAAGCGGTAAACATAGCTTATTATGTGTTGAATAGGGTGAATGTTAGAGCCAAACTTGATAAAACACCCTATGAGATCCTTAAGGGTAGGACACCCAATCCTTCCCACCTCCATATCTTTGGTTGTAAGGTTTTCATTCATAATAATGGGAAATCTCACTTAGGACAATTTGACCCAAAATCTGATGAAGAAGGGTTCTTAGGATATTCTAGTGTTGGGAAGTCTTTTAGGGTGTTTAATAAGAGGATATTAGTGGTGGAGGAGACTACTCATGTAGTATTTGATGAATCTGATCCTAGTAAGTCTAAAGTTGAGGATGAAGATGAAGTTGGAGATATTACCATTGGAGTTAAAAATTTGGAGAAGAAGGTAGTGCCACAAAACACTGAAGAAGTCAGTGAAATTACCCAAGGAGTAGAAAGTATAGATCTGGAGGAAAGGGTTGAACCTACACACACTTTGCCTAGAGATCTGAGATACTCTTTGAGTCACCCCAAAGAACTGATCTTAGGAGACCCTTCTGAAAGAGTTAGGACTAGAAAAGGACTTAGGAAGGAAGTGAACCACTATGCCTTTATCTCAATGTCTGAACCCATCAACATTAATCAATCTCTTTCTGATGAGTTTTGAATCTTAGCCATGTAAGAAGAGTTAAACCAATTTATTAGGAATGATGTTTGGGAGCTTGTAGAAAGACCAAAGGGACAAAGTGTAGTTGGAACCAAATGGGTCTTTAAGAATAAGGTGAATGATTCTGGTGTAGTGGTTAGGAATAAGGCAAGATTGGTGGCTAAGGGGTACAACCAAATAGAAGGGATAGATTTTAAGGAGACCTTGGCCCCTATGGCTAGATTGGAAGCCATTAGAGTGCTATTAGCATTTGCCTATTATAAGGGATTTAAGCTTTTCCAAATGGATGTTAAGAGTGCCTTTTTAAATGGGGTAATAAAAGAGGATGTGTTTGTAGAACAACCCCCAGGTTTTGAGAATTCTCAATTTCTAAATCATGTTTTCAAATTAAAAAAAGGCCTTATATGGATTAAAGCAGGCACCAATAGCTTGTATGAGAGGCTTAGCACATTCTTACTAGATAGGGAGTTTGTTAAGGGGAGCATAGACACCACCCTTTTTATAAGAAAAATAGGAGATGATTTACACATTGTTCAGATCTATGTTAATCAACTACTTTTTTAATTTTCTGATAAGAGACTATGTGATGATTTTTTCTAAAATAATGAGTAGGAGTTTGAGATGAGTATTATGGGAGAGTTGAACTACTTTTTAGGGTTTAGAATAAGATAATTGGATGATAGAACCTTTCTGAATCAATAAAAGTACATAAAGGATATCTTGAAGAAATATGAAATGGATAAAGCCAAGCCAATTAATACTCCCATGACCTCCAGTGTTCAGTTGGACAAGGACCCAAATGGAAAGTCTGTTGATTATATAGAGGGATTATTGGATCTTTACTTTACCTGTCTGCTAGATGACCTAATATTATGTTTAGTGTTTGTCTTTGTGCTATATTTCAAATAGATCCTAAGGAATCCCACTTTACTGAAGTTAAGAGAATTCTTAGAAATCTGGTACCCTAGGCATAACACTTCTTTTGAGGTAATTGGATATTTTGATTTTGATTTTGCAGGATGTAGGGTGGATAGAAAGTGCACTTCTGAGACATGCTAATTCATAGGACAGTCTTTAGTCTCCTTATCTAGTAGAAAACAAAACTCTGTTGCACTTTCCACTACTGAAGTTTAGTACATTGCCTTAGGAAGTTGTATGGCCCAAGTCCTTTGGTTGAAGTAACATATTTTAGATTTAGGATTACCTGTAGGCACAATCTCAATCCTTTGTGACAACACCAGTGCCATCTGCATTTCTAAAAATCCTATACAACATTCAAGGACTAAGCACATTGACATAAGACATCACTTTATTAGAGACCATATGACTAAGGGAGAAATTGAGTTACACGATGTGGCAACTGAGAATCAACTGGCTGACATCTTTACTAATTCACTAGCCTTTGGCACTTTCAACACTTTAAGGACCAAATTGGGTGTGATTGACATAAATGCATGAACTTGATTCCTATTGATTTTTGATCTATTATCTGTTGTTTATTTTTCACTTATGTTATTTAATTTATTTAGCTTTTTCCTTGTTTATTTTTTATTGCTTTTGTTTTTATTTCTTTATCTTTTTCGTATGCTTAATTTTTTTTTTAAATCATCGTTAAAATTTATATTTTATGTCTTATTTTTATTTTTGAATTTTTTGTAGTCAATATTTTACATCTCTTAATTTGTTAAAGGGTGAAAACATTGTTGATTGTGTCTCTTTCTCTAACATATTTTAGTGGTGTAATTTTCTTTTCTAAACAAAAATCTATCTCAAATTAATAACTGGACTTTGTAATTGAGATATTTTTTACCTTGCTATAGTAATCTAGCTTATATTTATAATGATCAAAGTCTTTATGTTACTTCAAGATTTCTCGTTATCCTGTTATTGCACCTCTCATATGATTTTTTATTCTATTTTATGGTTTGTTCTTCCTTATATTAGAGAGTGAGTTTTTCTATTCTAATATCTAGAAGATATATTCACAACTAAAAATATTTAAAAATTTTGAAAGAGAATATATCTTGCAATAATAAAAAAAATGGCCAATGATGACAAAAATAAAAGATGCATAATGACGCCAAATTAAAAAATATATATACACACAAAGTGTATCAAAATCAAAAGATGTGCAAAGTGCGTCATTCAATGGACAAGAGTCATAAAATGAGCCCATCAAAAGCAAGGTCTTTTCTCTTTACCAACTTTTAAATCTTAGAAGAATTCATGAATCACTTGAGATTTTCAAAGGCTTGATTTCAAATTTTTGCGATTGTGACAAACTACTTTGATACATTATTATATAAGATGTTTTTCTAAAACCATGTCTTAAACAGATCTCTTTTTTCTTATTCAATTGATTTTTCTAAGTTATGTCATTTGATTTCAAAAGTCAAATTTGCCTGGAGAAGTTCGAGCTAAGAGTTAACATGAACGGATACTTTACTGCTTTTTTGGATTTTTGATGTTGTTAACTCATTGACTTACAAATCTTTAAAATCAATCACATGGAGACTATGTTGTTTAGTTTCTGCTTTATTTATGTTCTACTTTCCTCCTCCTTTTTGGGATGTCAAAAGGGGGAGTAGTCTGCTGTACAGTTTGCTTTATACCTTGATTCTATATTTAAATAGTTAATATATGTCTATCTTCATATTGTTTTCATTAAATTTTCTTAACTGCTTAAATTATTTTTATGTGTTTGCCATCATCAAAAAAATGGAGATTGTTGTGTATCTATTTTAAGAAATAGAATTTTTATGATTGCAAACACTTCTATTTTACTATGACTGCCTAGCCTACTAACATTTTAGGTCCACAAGATTAAGACTGCAATTTGAGCTTGCTCAAGATTGGGTAGATTAGGTCTGAGTTAGTTTGTAATTTTTCCTTTCTTGAGTCTATTATAAATGGTGTAGTTCCTAATGCTAAGTAACCTTGCATACACACGCATAGGGGAAAATTTCTTTCTGTTAATTAGAGTTCTCTATTTTGATCACATCATCCTAGACGATCCTAAAATCGTCCTAGACTATCAGCTTAAAATAGAAACCCTAATTAGGGCATCTTAGTTAAGGCAGCCATTGTTAAGCACATCATCTTAGATGATATTCATATCGGCTAGGATGATAGGCTCAAAACAGAATGAATCAGCCGCCAAATCTATTTAGGTATTCTTTATTTTTGGACAGCGTTTAGGACATCGGCCTGGACGATGCACATAATTATGCCTAAATTAATTAGGTAATTAAGGAATGAAATTAAGGCTTGATTGATACGATCAAATCATCCTGGATGATCGTAGGATCAATCAGGACGTTCAGTTCAAAATACTATAGTTGATCTTGGATGATCAACATCAGATAGCTTTTATTCAAAGCAATGCTCTAGACAATTTTCATAGATTTATACTATCATCCGGGACGATCGTGAGATTATCCTGGACAATCAAACTAATTTTTTATCGTCCAGACATCCTTTCAGAGCGATTGTCTGGAAGATATTTATAGAATTATACTGATCATCCAGGACGATATTATATTAGCCTGGATGATAAGACCAAAAATATTCTAATTATCACAATCGATCAGGCTGATTGAATAAAATTTATGCTAATCAGCCAGGATGATATCTACATCGTCCTGGATGATAAAGTCGGTTTGTATAAATTAAGAGCTATTCCGAAGCTCTTCTATTTAAGAGCTCTTGTTCTACCCTTTAGCTAATCTTTTGCTACTTCTTTAACTTGAGAGAGCCAAGAGGAGAGGGAGAGCAAGGGAGAGAGAGAGAGAGGATCTTGTGAGGGGGAGTTTGCGAGGGAGTTCACAAAGGTTTCTCCAAGTAAGGATCCATCATCATCTTCTCCAGTCGTCATCCTTAGATCCTTGGGGGTTCTAGAGAGGTAAACTTCA